CCTGTATCCTATAAATTATTATTATGTAACAATAAATCCTAAAGAGCCAGGAATAACCTACCTAGGTTTCAATAAAAAATCCGTTTACGTGAAACTTAGGTAGGTTGTTCCTGGCTCTTTAGGATTTATTTTATTCATCCCAGCTCTTCTACTTAGCTTATTGAGCACTCTACGTTTTAGCTTTGTTACTTGCTTGGTTTTTTTCCCCTTGGACTAAAAACTTAAGGCACTGGACAATTTGTTTTGCCCTGTTTAAATGTTTCTAGTTTTTCTTTTTTTTTAACTTTTTCCTCAAGTACCCATTTTTTTTTATATATTTACAAGTTGTGCTATCCGAGGTTTTTTTGAACCTAGTACCACTATTAGTAAACATATATATATATATATATATATATATATATATATATATATATATATATATATATATATATATATATATTAAAACAGTAAGATATATGATCCGGTGTTCTTATAGTTATTTTTTTTTTTTACAAAATAGTGCTCAATGTAAATTTACAGACCATTAATATTATAAATTAACTGATTTAAAATGTTTTTTCGAGTACACAGTTCTAACCATGTTTCAAAAATGGAAGCTGAATGCTTCAATTTAATTTTGTAATTAAATTAAAGACATTAGTTCCATTTCATCCTCAAGCAATTTTTGGAGTAACTTTTATTACTGGGTTTTAAAAGATTCACAGCAAAAATCATAATTCACGTTTCCAAGGATACAGAAAATCCAAATCAACCAGACAATTCCTGTTTGCATGTTCATTATCGGTGTATTTTGATGTATCAGTTATTACAATACGTTTTGGTAGGGGGTGGGGGATGTATTTTTAAATAGGGTATTAACACGTAAATGAATGTAATGAATTTTTTGAATTCGAACTCGGCTCTCCGATTCCTCAAACCACTATCCACTACACTGTTATATCTCTCTTTCTCTCTATATATATATATATATATATATATATATATATATATATATATATATCTATTATTGTGTTCGAAGAATTTTTATTTGTAATCAGTAGATAGAGTAGTAGGACTATTGTGTTGTACACTGGTCGTTCGGAAATCAAAAGTCCCCCAGAGGGGAAAAGAGACACGTCTTGTCACTACGACATTCTGTTGGTAAAGAGAGAGAGAGAGACAGAGACAGAGACAGAGACAGAGAGACAGAGAGTTTGTGCCATTTCCTTCTATACTGCTTGGAGAAAATCACTGACAAACAAGTTGTGGTAATACCATACGCAAAAAAACAATATGGACGCTCGCCAAGATCGAGACATTTTGGCGTCCACGGAACAGATAAGAGAAAAATGTGGCCGTCGGTGTGTCAACACAAACCCATAGCAATTGTTTACGTCTAACTGGATGATGTTTAAATCTATCCAAACTTATATTTTATGTTTCACCCCAAAGCAAGGCAATAAAGCCACTGAGACGCAAGAGGTTACTGAATGTGAAAGAATATGAGAAAAAGAAAAAACATTATTATGGAAAGAAGACAGTAAAAGATAAGAATTAAGAAGACAAAATAACGATTGACACTGTATTTAAATTTTTGAAGATCAAAGGCAATAAAGCCACTAGGACGCAAGAGGTTACTGAGTGTTAGAGAATATGAGAAAAACTACTATTAAGGAAAGAAGACAATAAAAGAACAAGAATTAAGAAGACAGAAGATAACGATTGACATTGAATTTAAATGTTTGAAGATCAAATGTGGCCGGAATTCCAGAAGCCGGAAGAGAGTTCAACAGGCGAGAAGTGCGAGAGAAGATACTATTAACATAAAACTTACGGTGACAGCTACTAATTTTAACAGTAAACCTATGAGACCTAGCTATTACTGATGATTTCTAAAATTGGAATTTGAAAACAGAACATTCCTTATTTCTTCTTAGATGTATAATAAACTAATTATTATAAATTAACGGATTTAAATATACGGTTCCAACGCTTTATCTAATGCGAAGGATGAGATGTGTAAATTTACATTGAGCACTGTTTTGTAAAAATAAAAATATCAGTAAGAACAGTGGATTATATATCTTACTGTTCTTTTTTTGTATTTGTAATATATATATATATATATATATATATATATATATATATATATATATATATATATATATAAAAATAGAATCATAGATAGATAGATTTTAGATAGATAGTATTCGTGGTAAATATATAATAAAATATGCAAAATATATAAATATATATACATATATGCATACACATACATATATATATATTTTGAATAAAAAATTCCAAGAGGAAGAATCCAGGTTAGAACTCAATGTCCAGGACAGAGTAAGGGTATAAAAAAAAGGCTTAAACACTAATATTCCATGGTCATAATTTATTCCATTGGAATCGTAAATACGATCAATTCATCAGACCTACAAAAATTCAAAAAGAAAAAAGAAAAAAAACAACACCGGAAATAAAAAATAGAATTTAGAGAGAGAGTAAGTATGAGTTAAAAGAATGGGACGAATGTTAGAGCTAAAGAGAGGGTAACAGACGAGAAGGTGGGAATTAAAACTTAACAGAGAGAAGTTTTAGAGAGTGAGTTTTTCATTTAAGTGAGAGAAAATGTGAATGTTGTCGTATTTACGATTCCAGTGGAATAAATTATGACCATGGAATATTAGTGTTTAAGCCTTTTATTATTATATATATATATATATATATATATATATATATAATAAATTTCCAAGAACATAGAATCCATTTAGAACTCAATGTCCAGGACAGAATAAGAATATAATAAAAAAGGCTCAAACACTAATATTCCATGGTTATAATTTATTACATTGGAATCATAATCACGATCCAAATCATCAAACCTAAAAATTCAAAAAGAAATTGGAAAATATAGCTCTGGGCATAAAAAATAAAATTTTAGTGAGAGTGTATGTGTGGGAAACACAGTGAGAGAGAAATGTATGAAAGCTCTAGAGAGAGGGTAACAGAAGAAAGAAGAAGAGGAAGGTCTAAAGGTGAAGGTGGGGATTCAAATTTAATAGAGAGAAGTTTTAAAGAGAGGAGTTAAATAACGGTTTAAATGAGTGAGATACAGATAAATATGAATTATTTTTTGATGCATAATTCACTACCGATTCGCTGACCTAAGATTAAAATTAAAAAACAGACACCGGAAACGTGTGGATACATTTGTGGTGAATAAAAAATTGATATGATCTAAACTTAAAATCAGATGAATTTTATATATATATATATATATATATATATATATATATATATATATATATAAAAATTAATTATTTAACCTGTTCATTTAAGTTTTTTTTGGTTTTAAATCTTTGATGGTCTTTGGATTGTTTGTGATCAAAGAAGTTGTAAATTATATTTGTCGTTTTCCGGGAACATATTTTTTTTTACAGGATAGAATAGATTCACTGTGGGATCATTGGCGACATTTTGTCGGCTGTGATCATGACTACGCAAAGCAGTCATTTATTTTGTTTTAAGCTGATATATACTTTTGTCAAGCATCGATAATTGTGCCGAGAGCAGTTCAAAAATAGAAAACAATTTCTTACCCATTTACGTTTCGTTAAACTGCATTTATACTTACCTGAAAAGAAAAGAAAAGAGAAAAAAAATAATTTATTATGGAAGTAAATATGTAAAACATCAATCAACACAACCAATAACCAACAAATCATTTCAAATACGATTAACACATTCAGCGGCAAGGGATTTTAACTGGCGTTCACGTTACTTGCAAATTAACGTCCCCCTTTTGAAAGACGCGCCTTGTCTTCATTTTATCCTCTATACGTTATTGCGGCTAATACCCGCTTACCGGAGATGCTAGTGAGTCCGTGAAATAAACGATAGCGCCGGCTGAAGGTGTTAATTATTAAACGTGATACTGGAATCATCATAATTATTATAAAACCCAGGTTGTGTGTGTGTGTGTGTTCGTTCGTTTATATATTGATCGGATTTCCTACATTTTTTCAACCGATTTCAACAAAACTTCACAGGACTACGTAAAATTACCTTTGCGGTGGTTCTGATAGCGCCAAAAATTGAAAAAAACACAATTGTTTTTGCACGAAATCAATTTGAAAAACACGATTAAGAGGCATCACTGTCGCCAGAATGAAAGGGGACAAACTCATATCGAGTTATACTTATTATAAAACCCAGGTTGTTTGTGTGTTGTGTTGTGTGTGTGTGTGTGTGTGTGTATATGTGTGTGTGTGTGTGTGTTTATATATATGGGATCGGATTTCAAACATTTTTTCAACCGATTTCAACAAAACTTCACTTTTTTTTTTGGCAGGTAGTGTTTCTTATTTTCTTGCACACTTTTTTTTATTTTATTTTTACATTCAGAATGCTTTAAAAAATTCCATTTACAAGACAATTGTTTATAATAAAATTCTATTCAATCGATAGACTCATAACGATTGAAAAAAAATAATTTTTTGAGTTTCAGTTTGATCAATTCGTCAAAAAAAAAAAAAAAAAAAAAAAAAACTAATTAAGACATGCGTGTCCGTCAACCTTAAAACAATAATCGTTGTCAATTTTATTTTTTTTCAGTCTTTATGATGGTCGATACTTACTATCTTACAAATACCCCCTACAAACGCCGGGCTCTACTGCTAGTTACATATTATGTTAGGATGGGAAATGCAACACCGACATACGAAGGCGCATTAGGATATCGAAATCTGTATTCTAAAAGCTAAGCAAACTATCGCGCGTCAGTTATGTAATAAGTTCTCCTATATGGCAGCCATTGTGGTTCTACAGAGGGATGCTGAGAATGACATGGACTGAACATGCGAGCAACGACGAAGTTTTAAAGACATGTAAACAGAAATGACACTTATACGGAGTCTCAGGAAGAAATAGGCGAAATTTCTAGGGCATATAATGAGGAAAAGAGGCTTGGAGAATTAAACTCTCACAGCACATACTGAAGGCAAGATAGGGTATGGTACATAGAAGAAGAAGAAAAAGAAGAAGAAGAAGAAGAAGAAGAAGAAGAAGAAGATAGATAGGTGTAAGATAGATAGATAGATAGATAGATAGATAGGAACAGTGGAAGAACAAGAAGGAGGAGGAGAAGGAGGTGATAGATAGATAGATAGATAGATAGATGGAAGAAGAAGAAGGAGGAGGAGGAGGAGCAGGAGGAAGAGGAGGAGGAGATAGATAGCTAGAAAGAAGAAGAAGAAGGTGGAGGGGGGAGGAGTAGGAGGTGATAGATAGATAGATAGATAGATAGGAACAGTAGAAGAAGAAGAAGAAGAAAGTGGAGGAGGAGGAGGAGGTGATAGATAGATAGATAGATAGATAGATAGATAGATAGATATATATGAAGAGACGGAGATAGATAGATAGATAGATAGATAGATAGATAGATAGATAGGAACAGTAGAAGAAGAAGAAGAAGAAGAAGAAGAAGAAGAAGAAGAAGAAGAAGAAGAAGAATATGGCAATGGTAATATTAACTGTTTCCTTATAAGGAAACATTAATCATATACGAGAATAAGCCAAAAATTATCCTCTCTTTTGCCGTAACATATCTATGTTAAGAGTGCGGATAATTTTTTACTTTCCCTCGTGTTATCCGACCGAATACAGGCTCAAATATATTTCTATCTGTTATTAGCGACGCTACGAGGTCGGAGAACTTATGAATCAGTCGTCACAATTTGTTTTCTAACCGAATTTCTTACGCGGAGCTATTGTTAAGTATTATCGTTTAATTATTACAAACGAAATTAAATAATTCATTAACCCTATTTCATATCAACTTATTTAATTAAAGTAAATATAGAATAATGTGTTTAATGGATTTAATATTATAATGTAATTTAATATTGATGCTATTATATATTTTTATTACGGTTTATTGTTATGCTGCTTTGACCTGATGCTTTTCAACAGCAATTCAACTAGCGGCCATGTTGAACGCGGAGGGTGTTGACCGAAAAAGAATAACAAATCACAAAGATGTTATTCAGCAGAACAAACAGGAGAGATAAAAACGGGTTTAGAAAGAAATACTACAGTGAAATAGGACGAGAGATGTCGCCATTAAAATATAAATCACTTGAGAAGACGAAGCTGAGATAGATAGATAGATAGATAGATAGATAGATAGATAGATAGATAATGAACAGTTTAATAGAGAGATAATGAACAGTTTCATAGATAGATAGATAATGAAAGGTTTCATAGATAGATAGATAGATAGATAGATAGATAATGAACAGTTTCATAGATAGATAGATAGATAGATAGATAGATAATGAACAGTTTCATAGATAGATAGATAATGAACAGTTTCATAGAGAGATAGATAGATAGATAATGAACAGTTTCATAGATAGATAGATAGATATATAATGAACAGTGTCATAGATATATATATAGATAGATAGATAGATAGATAGATAGATAATAATGAACAACAACATAAAAAGAGATATGAAAAAAGTAGATAGATAGATAGATAGATAGATAGATAGATAGATAGATAGATAGATAATGAAAGGTTTTATAGATAGATAGATAGATAATGAACAGTTTCATAGAGATAATATAACAGTTTCATAGATAGATAGATAATATATGAACATTTTCATAGATAGATAGATAGATATATAGATAGATAGATAGATAATGAACAGTTTCATAGATAGATAGATGGATAGATAGATAGATAGATAATGAACAAAATTCATAGATAGATAGATAGATAGATTTCCTTAATGAACAGTTTCATAAATAGATAGATAGATAGATAGATAATATAAATAAGAAAGAACAGTTTTATAGATAGATAATTTTATAGTTTCATTTTAGAGATAGATAGATAGATAATGAACAGTTTCATAGATAGATAGATAGATAGATAGATAGATAGATAATGAACAGTTTCATAGAGAGATAATGGACAGTTTCATAGATAGATAGATAGATAGATAGATAGATAATTCTTCACTTATTTTTCTTCTAAGACGCTTAGCCAAAGCTTTTTGTCTTTTAGAATTAGGCCCATTACGTATATTTCTGTCCCCGACGTCTCTCACACACTCTCTGTATATTTCTTTTCCATCCTTTTAACATTCCCTCCTTCCTCTTCCTACCCAACCCATTCCGCTTTACCACATCTGATCCGCCCCCACCCAAGCACCCACTAAACGTACTCAAATAGTTCCCTTATACGATTGTACCAACAGACTGTTACACTTTTTTTCTATCTGCTTGGCTCTGGGCCAAGTAAGTCAGTAACAAAATAACTTTTGATCTTTGCCAATGTTGCTTTAGCTTATCAGGTACATGTTGTTCAACATTTTATATTCGCCTTTTTTCATGTACGTTTCGTAAGTTTAATATATATATATATATATGTGTGTGTGTGTGTGTGTGTGTGTGTGTGTGTGTGTGTGTGTGTGTGTATAGATAGATAGATAGATAGATAGATAGATAGATAGATATAGAACTTTACTAATCTACATTTTGTATGAATGATTCATTGTAATATAAATTGAACTGCACCACATATTTGATTTAAAAGAACTGATCCAATGTGCAAATTTTCGGTATAACCACTGAGACATTACTCTATTTATTGAACAATTTAGTTCATGTCACATTGACTGATAAACTCCTACAACAAAAAAATTCTCAAATTGCCATATTAGTAAAAAAAAACGCACTCTCTTAAATTTTCCAAAAAAATAAAACTTTACCATTGCGACTGCATGCTACAAAAGTTTGTATCCGTTATCAATAAGACATTAAAAAAACAAAAACATATTTCGATTCGCATTATATTTTTTCGTCTCGGATGATACTTGAATTTTACCAAAAACAAAATAATTTCCATGCCTGAAGATGACTGAATGTACAGTCGAAAGTACTTGCGTATTAAAGAAAGACCTTATAGAGTTTATAATTTTTAAAAACCAGGATCATAACATTCATCGAGTGATTTGAAGGTTAATGCATCTTTAAATTTTGTTTGCGAAGAAATTTCGCCATTTTATATCATTACCACTTTACTAATCTACTTTTTGTACGAATGATTCATTGTATATTATATATATATACACACACACGCATACACACATACATACATACACACACACACAACACATATATATATATATATATATATATATATATATATATATATATAATAAAATATATTCGTTAAACACTAGTACTCCATTGTTATAATTTATTACATTGGAATCGTAATCACGATCCAATTCATCAGACCTACAAATTCAAAAAGAAATCAGAAAAAATAACTCCGGGAATAAAAAATAAAATTTAGTCAGATTGTATGTATGAGAGTGCGTGGCGAATGCGAGAGTAAATGAAAGCTATAGAGAGGGGTAACAGACGAGAGAAGAACAGGAAGATCTAAAGGTGAAGGTGGGATTATATATATAGTTCTTAGTTCGGCGCTGTGAAAGTGCAGTTGTTTTACCTAGTCAATATTGTCTGGTCTCACCTTTAAAGTATTTCCTAGGTGACGTTAGGCACTTCACATGACATGTCTGGAAACATTCTTGGAACTCGTGTTCTGGAATAGCTTACAATTAATTCAAGCCGTAAAAGACAAAAAGCGGAACTTCCGGGAATTAAAATGACAAAGTATTTCGGGGGGTTTTGTTGGTTTTTTTTTTGGTTTTTTTTTTTTTTAAATTTATCCTGTGTTTTATTTTTTATTTTTTTCTCTTTTGTACACAAATTCTGTGGAAATTGTCCTAATGTTCTGTATGTCCGATCGCTTTTGTTTTTCTTTTAGCCATTATCAAGGGTGATTTTATTTTGACTTTTAGCTGAATGCATAAACTATTTTAGGCATGTGGAATTATAGAAAACGCTCGGATATATACAACATTCGGATAATTTCTACATAATTTATATTCAGAAAAGAAAAGTTGTAAGAACACAAGAAAAAATTAAATAAGGAACTTATCCGCAGTGCCTTGCCAGTCGTTTTTAATGAAACGTGTATAAACAAAGGATTGCTGTCGAAATACACAATTCCACACCCATATTTACCTATGTATATATATATATATATATATAAAACAGATTTTTTTTACAGTGAACTAAAGAATATAAAACAGACAATAAATTAATAATAAATTTCCAAACTATATAGTTGATGAACAAATAAGATGCTTTCTTAGAAATCTCAATAATAAGCAAATTGTACATAATACTGCTTCTACTGATCTCAAATATATTAATCTCCTATATCGTAATTAAATGCATACTAATTATAAACAAGATGAACACATACTAAAAAAAAATAGTAAATTTTAATATATCAACTACAGATCCTAGCAAAAAAATTAAATTAATCATATACTACACTAAATCTAGTATAATCTCTACAAATATTCTTAAATGTCTATAATTTCAATTAATTTTAAAACCAAGCCATTGGTTTATAAATTCAACGGCTTTCCTTATTTCATTCTCCAATTCACTCTCGTGTTGTCATGTGTGACGTCATGAGATGCGGTGCGATTTTTTAATTCTAGCGTCTTATATTTTAAATTCATCGTTTAGCTTAGTGATCCACTATGTAAACATAACAATGACAGACTATCATCACTGTCGTGTCCATATATTGTTTGATATGTTTGTATTTACATCTTTGATAATGGCTTGAAAAAGCCAAAGCTTAGATTTTATTAAAAATATAATGGATAAATATTGTGAATTTCTTTTTTTCGGTAAATGATAATGTTATCAAACTTATCAGAAGATACGAAAAAATTTTACATAAAATAAATAGACAACACTTGTCTATATTATTTAATGAAACGTATAAATAAATATATATATATATATATATATATATATATATATATATATTTGTGTGTGTGTGTGTGTGTGTGTGTGTGTGTGTATGATTTGTATTATCGTTGGCTGAAATAGATCTATACCCCCCTTATGAGATAATTTTGGATTTTGTTGTGTAATATATATATATATATATATATTATCAATTTTTCTTATAAAATAAGAAACTAAACTCATTTGAAAACCTTCGGTGCATTGATTTGCAAATAAACAAGCCAATACCAAAGGGAAAAATGGTATAAACAAAAGAATGAACCAAGAATATGTACGTTAGCCGAAAATAATCGTCCAGCATGCAATTCCAAGGCCCAAAGAAAAAAAAAACCCGATGCGAATACCCAAAACAACTAAATAAAGTGCTCAATAATGATGAGACCTAGCTAAACCTAGAGAGCCAGACAAACCTAATAAATATTTCACATAATTTGGAAAGCAGGCCTTTCCTGACGATCCGCTTAGGTGAAAAAAATGGTAAACTTGTCTTTTATCATTCTAGACTTTTTTAATAAAATATATATATATATATATATATATATATATATATATATATATATATATATATATATTCGAGACAACGTCTTAATTTTTTAGAAGGTAATATTGATATGAAATAAAATTTTATTGTAACCTAATTATGTCCAATAATGGATCATATGCAATATAGGTGAACAAGTTAACCAGAAAAATTGAAAATAAATACAATGTATCTAAATACAAATTAGAGACATGTCATAATAGATCATTCCATCTTAAATAAATCAATAATGTTTTGCAGCAATTTTTAACATCAACTTGAGATTTCTCTTGCTAAAGAGTTGAATAATTTTAACACGTTAAAATAAAAAAAAATAAAAAAAAGACGCGCCCATCTCAGTGTACAGTTAAATGTATCGTTAATATTTTAATTGGGACAGAGCAAGTAATTTTGGATGCTTCCGTTGGTCTTTATTTTTTATTTTTTTTATTTTTTTTTTTGGTTTATTTTTTTTAATTCTTTTTTTTTTATATATATATATATTTTTTTTTTTTAAGAGCTGAGAGTATAAATTCTGTCATGAGCCCTAGCACAATTCTTTACACGGTGGCGACCTGTGGGATAAGATAACAGGTCGTGGGTTTGCCACATATGCTGATATGATGAATAAGAACCCCGAAATCAGCGATGAAGACGTCTTTCATCACTAATGACCACCTTCAAGCATTCGAATGTATTTTGCGATATGGATAGAAAGAAAGAAAATTTTATACAGTGTTTTTTTTTTTATTATTTTTATTTTTTTCTTATAATGAGCAAAACAAATTCACGGATTTGGACGAAATAGACCCTAGAATGACGTCAAAAATCCGCGAAAATATTTCATCCTTTAATAGTCAGTGCTTAGAT